TTAATTTTATTTTTCTTATAATTTATCAATTAATTGAATTGTAGATTAGATGTACATGATATTGTCTGCTATTAATAAAATACTTGTAATACATAAACAACTTTTTAGATCTAAAAACCTGTGAAATAATCCTTTAAGAAATCCTCTTTTTATTTCTGTATACGTTTTTTTGTACGACTAATGCAATAAAGATTATTATTATTTATTACTATAAAATCAACAAAGAAAACAGACTTATTCTTTTTCAAATACTAACAAAATTTATTAAAATTATTAGAAAAATAACGATTTTGTAAATTGAATCTACTTTTATTTCTTCTATATGTTGTAAACTACATTTATTTCATTTAAAATCATAACAATTTTGATTATAATAATTATATAAATAATGATTTCAATTATTTCCCCTTTTTTTACATTCTTTAATAAGCAATAAACTATACTTATTTAATTCGGTATTTAAAGTTTACCTTTTCAAGTCATTTTACAAGAATGCAGATTTATTATCTTCCTTGAGTACCGATTAAAGACAGAATTAACTACATATTATGTCATTAGAACTGTTCTTCCCGTTAGTACGAAAATAGTTTAGAATTTTGTTACGCAATTACCAGATTATATTGCTGAAGTCAAAGATAATCTTGTAAACTATATAATAAAAGTATTTCTGTAATTCGATTTGTATATTACTATTAGATTTTTCAATAACTATTCATGGATTATATTAATATTAACTTTTGTAAAAAAAATCTTGTAGTAATTTGTAATTAATTGACATTTAAGCAATTATTGACTTCTTAATTATTGTTTTTCCCGATTTTTAATTATGAAATGTTAAATAATTATCGAATAAACGTTTCCTTATGGCTTTTAAAATAGAATTTATTTTCACAATTTTTCGATTAATTCGATTCTTTTAAAAATGTTTTAATGTTATACAATTATCGATTTATTAAAAAAAAAATGTTTTTTTTTCTCAATTTTTCAATATTCGATTTTTTACCACGAATTTTAGATGTTATAATCAATTTTATACAGTTACTATAAATTCTTGAAAAGAAAAATAACTTCAGCACAATAATTATGTAAAATATCTGCTGTTTCTTTAACATGTGATTCACATTCGAAAAGGGTTTTCGTTTCCAGCAGTATTAATTATATTGGCCTCTTGTCATCTAATTGGTGTTCCCGTTAGACGGCTTCGCAAGAGCCTCCCCTCATGCAAATCAATAAATTGATGATGACTTGATTAAAGGTTCTTATCGTCGTTAAAAAGAGGTCGACGCCAATCACAGAATCATCGAACTGCACGTTTCATAACCGATCATCAACGGGACGAGATTGCCGGTAATCAACTTAATCGAACCGAAGAGGAACAACAAATCGGATCTCGCTTTAGGAACGGTTTACATCACACGATTGCACGAAAGGAAAGGATGTTCGCAGCGCTTTATGGGAAATACATCGTCGTTCGTTCACAGAATATCCACCAATTCCCATTTCCACCTTGTTATATAATTGAACGATGGAATTACTTCAATTTTAAATTTTGAACACTTATGTTTTTATTGTATTTTAAATAATTAACATTCTGTTATGTCCATCTACATTGATAATAGAGTTAAAGATAAAATTATATAAGATTCACAACTGAAAATGAGATCTATAAGAACTACCGTATTTTTGCAAGTAAAAGAAGCAGGTTCTAAAAAATAAGAGCGTCGTATACTTGAAGAAATACAGTTTATATTGATGGAGAGTAAGTATTAAATATATTACAATTTAATTTATAATTCCATATAATTTATACCAAATCATCATTTCAGGTAGTGTCCAGAACAGGCATTGCTTAACTTTTGAAAGGTACCAAATTAAACAACAAATTGGCGCCACTCGAAGTGTAATAATTAGAATTTTAGTAATTATCAATATTATTCATCCATTTTATGAAAATACAAATATTTTTCACAAATTACATAATGTAAAATTTTAATAAATAATAGAATTAATGCAAATGTAAAAATCAATAATTAAATAAATATGTTGCAATTTACTTTATAATTCCATATAATTCATACCAAATCATCATTTCAGGTAGTGTCCAGAACAGGCATTGCTTAACTTTTGAAAAGTACCAAATTAAACAAAAAGTTGGCGCCACACGAAGTGTAATAATTAGAATGTTAGTAACACTATTATCATTATTATTCATCCATTTTATGAAAATACAAATATTTTTCACAAATTACATAATGTAAAATTTTAATAAATAATAGAATTAATGTAAAAAACAATAATTAATTGAAAATTACATAAGAAAAAAATCCATATTTCATAAAAATGTATTTTAATAAAAAATGAATGAAAATTACCACAAAACCAATTTATTTGACATTAGTATTCCTAAAACGCCGTCAATGGAGGCCAATTAAAAAGATACTTGTTGGCTTACCATGGTTACTGACAGCCAATTTACAATATTTTGAAACTGACGCGCATACATTATCACCCTCTTGTGATGCAAATGAGAAGTCCGAAACTCCCAACACAATTGAATAATTCCACCCAATTAAAATTATATAATAAAAAATCACTAAAATCAGTATAATGTCAAAATTATATAATATATATTTAAAAAATGTCAAGTGGTAACAGTATTATATGTCAGTTATAAATTGAAGAAATATCACAATTTTGACAGATTGTTGTCAATTTCTTTGTTGTGATTATTATTTTTTTAATTCAAATCATTTAGCTATTATTGTATACGATTGAATGTTAAGAAGTGTTACGACTCTTATGATTATACACCCTAGTTTTTTTTTTTATCGTGATAAGTAGAAACGAACTGTTGCATAACGGATGTTACGTATCTTATCATCTACAGCCCGAATATCTCGTGGGGAAATTTCGATTTCATTAAAATATTACGGGGTGTGTTGTCATGCTATGTAACATGACAAAGACCTCTAAAAAAAATGAAATGGACAAAATAGTTTTGAGCTTCATTCCTCTACTATGATTACAATTTATTTCGAAAAAGGGAAAACTATACAAAAAAAATTATTTAGTATTTAGTTTCGCTAGGAATTTAATGGGTATTAAAAAAGTTTATAGAGAAGCACATATCAATATGCTTTGGAAACATAAAGCTCTTGGGTTCCAATTTATATGTATTTATGGATGAATCTCTTGCTATTTCTTAAATTAAATTTTATTTTTTTATTTAAACTTTAAGAAAAATAGTTAAAAACTTTATGTTTACATTTAAATGCCATTCATTCGATAAAATATAAAATTTAATTACCAGGAAGGAAAATTAGTGTTCAAACTTAAAACTATTGTAAACTATATAAAATATAATATGAATTTGATTACCAACAAAGACTTTTCATAATTTTTCATAAATCTCGAAGAAATATATAACTGTAGAATTCCAGTTTATTTTTTTGCTAATTCTTCAAGTAAAACTTATTATTACAAATTTCCCTAATTAATAAGAAATAATTATTTTTATTTTGTTTGGTACAAAATTAAATCTCTATTGATTATACACAAGAGGCAGTAAAGAGATTTTCAGTTAATGTTTAGAAACATTCCAAAGATCTGCATAGCTCATGAAGCTTCACATTTAATAGCGTACTGCGCTTTATCGTGCACTTCGAAATGCCGAAGAGATGAACTCGAATTTAATCGTTTTTCATTAATAAAGCGCCGGGGTTCCAATCATTCCGCATTTAGTTGTGATTAATTACGGCGCAGGTTTATTGAAACTTAATTAAGAATATTCTAATTGGGTACGGCGAGCGCGTAATTAGCGAAGATTATAATTTCATAAGTGAACTAATTAAAATTTATTATGCATTTTCCTGAGCAGAACTTAATTAAAGAGGCTTAAGGAAGGTATTCGCTTGTTGCGCTGTCCCGATAATCAATTTGCGATTAAGTCGTCTGCATCTTGTCACTTCTGCATAAAGACAAGAATTTCTTTTAAAGCAAAATACAGAAATATCTCGAATAGTGCGGATATTCTATCCAATATCCCGGACTGATTGAAACCGGACAAATTGAGTACAGGTTCAAAATTGAGTACAACTTCTAAGATATTAAAAAAAAGGAAAATTAATAATAACAATATTGAATTGAAATATTCTAATTAGAACTTAATTATATAAGTAATTTTTTGTTAAATTTTAATCTGAAATATTTCATTTTTATAAGTAAAATTTATTCCATTGTAATTACTATAAACACTTTCAAAGTAGATAAGTTTTTAACTCATCATTATTTTTTTTCGGTTAATTAAATTTTATTACTAAATTTTGTTTAAATTTCAACATAGGAAGTAGTTAATTCCAAAAGGTATTTAAAACTAAATCTTTTATCTTTAAGAAAAGTAAAAGGTTTGAAAAAATATTCGAGATTTATTTTATAACTTGATTAGAGTTTATTAGGAATTTAGATTATTTTAGTTAAAACAAATGTAAGAATATTTGTCTTGTTGAAAAAATATTTTTATGGAACAAATATATAGGGAAACCTTATTGTAAACAATCAGAATGGAAAATTTGTAACTTCATTCAAAGATATGAAGAAAATTTTATGAAAATATTTTCTGTGAGAAACTTTTGTAATGTTACTAATAATGATGTAGAAAAATTCCATTCAAAATAATTGCATTTTTATGTGAAAAAAATAATTGTCCAATTTTTCAATTTTCTTCATAGATTATGAAGTGGACAAATATTTCTTTCATAATAACTAAAAGATGTTAGTAAATTAATGTTATATAAGATTCGATAAAATATTTCAAATTAGTTAAATGCAGAAACAGTAATATTCACTTAATAAATGTATCTAATTAGATTTTGCAAAATTTTTCTATATAGAGCAAATATTTCGTGGAATTCTTAAGGAAATGAAAATTGTTTGTTTCTGGTGCTTCGCATAGGATACAAAAAATATGTGCATGTGCGAGAAAACTGAAGTATTGGACTCACCTATCCATGGTCGAAGAGTTACTGCCCTATGCGAAAAATCGTGAAAGAGCTGTTGTGGTTTAGTGGTTTGATCGATGCACAGACACAGGTCAGCGATAATACGCCAATCGTCGTGGAAGGAAATTGTTGAACGGACACCCCCGATGGAACGAAGGGAGCGAAGCAAGAGTGCGGCGTTTCGTAAAGTAACGTTAACGTAACGTGTGTGTAAACTAACGTGAAGACCAGGGACCACGTGCGGCATGCGCGACTGCCGAAGACCGAATAAAACCAGCGAGTGTTGAGCCACCAAAGCTGCCTGTCGGTCGATCTTTTACTTCTTTTCAGAATGAATAGAAGGACTGGAGGAGTCTCTTCACATGTCCACGCACGTACACACAAACATATACATACGTATACATACGAGCACACGCAGACATGAGTATCCATCCCGGCAAACGCAGCCAGCTCACCAAGAACTCGTTTCAGCGAAATATTTTTTTGGGAGGTCCAAAGAGGACCAGTGTGTTGCCATATAACAAACCAAAAGAAGATCGAGGCGAACTTGGAAAATACAATTTTCCTGCAGTCAATCGAAGCCAAACTCAAAAAGAACACAGCTCAAAATGTTCATATGATCAATCATCAAAAGTTAAAACTAATTAAATCTAATATATTTATTTTTTCATTATAATAAATGTATTGCCTTATATTTGATGAATTCGGTATAAAGTGTTCTTTCAAGTTTTTAAATTCGATATTATATGTAATATTTAAGAAATTTCATGATTCTTTTAAAACTAACTTTTATACTATAACATTGCCCAATTATTATATAAAATTACGTCATTATAAAATAACTAGTTATTTCATAAAATAACGGATGATACAGTATTAAAATTTGTTTATCTTTAACTTTATATGAACGTTATGTGTTCATATGTATACATTTTTTAGTTATTTTACATAAAACAGAATTGATAATAATTATTTCGTAACATAGTTTGAATGAAATGCGGAGAAGAAAGACACAGTTTCAGATTTCCAATTAGGACATTCCCCCGTTCAACCATAAAATCCTTGTAAGATGTGGAGGACGGAATGGATTTTGGGACTTTTATGACTGGGGATCGTTGTTCTATCTTCTTTTTTATTTTATTTTTTTGTTTCGTGGTTGTTGCTGATGATGGCATTACCTTCTTTTTTTTGAGACGAAAAGTAAATTGAGCGTGGGACGAATAAGTGGCTATTCTTGTTTGGGCTCTTCTCCTGAACTATATTGCATCTTTTATAGCTGAAGATGTTTATTTTTTTTATATATAGAGAATGAATCATAAATAAAGTTTATGAATTGCGAATTTTTATTCATATTCATGTACTAAGTAGAACATATTTTATTGCTCATTTTTCTCAAATGATTCGACAATAATTTAAAGTGAAATAATTTTATACAGGACAGAAAGATTTTTTTACAATAAATCATTGTATAAAAAGTAAAGTTTTATTTTTCAATTAGAAAAGATATATTTAAGGGAATGTAATTACATAATTAATCAAGTAATGTTAAATAATTAAGAAAAAAAATGATATTTTTTGTATTTGATAAAAATAATATTATATATAAATTATTAATATCGACTTATAGACACATTTTTTTTTATATTTAATTAAAAGTTCTGCTCCAAATGATTTAATTACAAATACAAAATAATCAAATTATAATGCTTCCATTAATCTTAGATAAATCAGATCAACTTTCAATAGAAATTCGCTAAGAAAATTATTATAACTAATAATAAATTTAATCAATGTTTAGTAAATTAATGTATAATCTGTTGAACATCTGTCGTAATTAAATAAATTGTATGAAAATAAAATGTAACACAATAATAGTAAGATTTTTTTCTTATTCTACTTCAAAATCTTATAAAAGTAATTTTATTGATATATTTTAGCAATTCAATGTGAAGAACCATAAAATTCAATTGAGTAATTAAAGAAATACAAAAATCTTATAAAAGTATTTTTATTAATATATTTTATCAATATTTTCGAACAACCATAAAATTCAAAAGAGTAATTAAAGAAATACAAAAAAAACGTAATTGAGATTGGAAATTTCGGTGCGAATAAATAAGAAAGTCTCCTACTTTCAAGTTTGTTGTCTATTCTAGAATATTTAATGGTTTCTGTGTTAATAGAATATATTCTAATTTCTCTCTAAAATCTTGACTTATGACCTCTCAATGTTGATGTCACACATTATTTTTTGATATGATTCATTTATTGGTTCAATCATTGAAAATCGTATTTTTTATGCATGTAATTAATTAAATTTATTTTGATTATAATTTAAAAAGAAATAAGTTTGACCTGTAAACATTTAACTTATTTAGTTTAAGTTATTTTTAGTATATATTTTATAATAAATAAAAATACTTCTCAATTTAATGAAATTTGACGCTTACTGACATATGTATATAATGTTTGACATATGTATGTTTCGAATAAAGCATAGTGTGGACGTACCATTATAAGAATATTTAAATCATATCGATTTGTATTCTATTTTTCTAAGTAGTAAAGATCTAGCATATTGGTAGTAACTGAAAATGCTTTTTCAGTGGAATGTATTAGTTAACTACACTTTAAAATTGACACTTTAGTTGATTATAGTTATATATAATTTTGACAATTGACAGATATTTAGGTTCAAAGTAAAGCAGAATGTGGATGCATCATTATATACTCCTACCAACATATGTAAAGATATTTAAGTCAACTCCATATATTATGCCAATGTATTTTACTTAGTACTAAATATCTTGTATATTGATAGTAACAAAAAAATGCTATTTGACACTTTTCTGGCAGTTGATATTTTTGACAGTTGACAGATAAGTATGTTTCAATTAGCATTATAGAATATTACCAGTATTTCTAAATACATAGTAATTTCAATGTGTTATACTATTAAATATCCTGAAATAACAGGAAATGCACTTTCAATGGAATATAGAAACATAAATTAACAATCACAATTTGGCACATTGCTGTCATATCTATATAATTTTTGACACTATTAAATTTCAATTAAAATACCAATATTACAAAGAACATTACTATTTGACTATTGACCATTGTATTTTACTAAATAGTAAATATCCCATATATTGGTAGTAGAAGGAAATGCACTTTTAGTGGAATATGGAAATATTAGTTTCGATTGCACATCAAATATTGAATGTGTCATTGTGTTTACTAACAGGTATATATAATGTTGACAATTTACAGATATGTAGATTCAAAGTATATCAGAAAGTGGATGCAGAATTATATACTCCTACCAACATTCCAAAGTATTTTACTTAGTACTAAATATTTTGTATATTGATAGTAACAAAAAATGCTATTTGACACTTTACTGACAGCTGACATTTGACATTTTTTACAGTTGACAGATATGTATGTTTCAATTAGCATTATGGAATCATACCACTATTTCGAAATATATAAAAATTTCAATGTGTTATACTAAGTAGTAAATATCCTGTGGTAACAGGAAATGCAATGTAGAAACATTAGCTAACAACCTTTTCAATCGCAATTTGACACATTGCTGTCATATGTATATAATGTTTGACACTATTAAATTTCAATTAAAATATATCATTATACAATCATACCAATATTACAAGATAATTTGTATTTTATTAAATAATAAATATACATTTACTTTTACTACCAATATATGTAGTAAAAGTAAATGCACTTTGAGTGGAATGTGGAAATATTAGTTTCGATTGCACATCAAATATTGAACGTGTCTTTGTGAAGTGTAAAAGCCTGTACTTTTCTTGTCTCTTTGAAATTCGATGCTGTTAGAGTCGAACAGGTCATTACTATTTAGTATGTAGCTAGCGGGGAAAAAAATATGAAATGTATTGATTCGCTTCGATCCGAATGAGTGTGGAGGGTTTTTCGAATAAGGGTGGCGTGTGTATCGGCACACGCACACATGCCATTCTTATTTAGGGTCATACCTAATTCATGGTACACACCCTCCCTTAATATGTTTATATCAGTGCAAACACTTTGATCCTCGGTTTCTCATCCCCCTTCCCCACATATGTGTTTATTAAAAAACACCTAACCAGTTTCTACATTTAAAAGCAAAGCAGAAGACATATAAAAAATGCATACATAGAAGGAGGGTGGAAATATAATGGAACTCGAATTAAGTCTAATCGAATCACAATATTTACACAGCATCAATTAATTTAAGACATATTCTCTTTCTATACAAATGATTTATTTCTACTTGAAATGATTAATGAATTAAGTTGAATTTAATTGAATCAAAGAAAAAACATTAAATATAAATCATTTGCTTCATTATTTCTAAATTTTACTTATAAAATCCACACATTTTAATTCTTAATAAAAAAATAATTATTACAAGTATTATAAATAAATTTGAATAACATTAATTATTTTTTGATTAATTTAAATAATTTCTATATATTTCTTACAAAAAACATTTTTCAAGAGAAATAAAACGTCTTTTGAATGGAGAAACCGTTTTTCTATGTTTTATTTGTATGAGAGATGATGGGAATATTTCTGAAGACATTTATGGATCAGGAAACTCATACTATCGAAGCGGTGAAAGGAAACGTGTTCCTTATTTCCCACTCAAAGAAATCCTCACATATTGCGGTGATTTTAGCTGGCTAATGGTTTTACCGAAGACGAGGTACAAAAAAAGAATAGTGTTGACGTGCATGTGAGGAGATTGCTGAACGTTTCCATCACAATATTTCGTTTTTTATTTTCTTAACACCCATCACATGGTTTACATCTAAGAAATATTATATTATTTGAATGAATTTATTTGCTCTTACTCATTTAACAAAATTATAAAACAATTTGATAACAAATAGAAATCAGTTTATTTATAATCAATTTGTTTTTTGTATTTAATTTTAAAATATATATCAGATTAGATATTGATGATTTCATTGTTTTATGTTATATAAAACTTGCTTAAAATATGAAAATAATTATAATGGAAAAAAATAGAATTATTGTATTTGAAAATTAATTTTCATAAATTTCAAAGTAGAATTAAATTTGAGAAAGAAAAATGTTAACATTTATAACAAAGTCAAATTTATGGCATAAATTTTGAAATTTTTATTGTTTTAAGATTATTATGGAAATTAATTATATTATGAAATAAATTAGAATTATTAGAAATTTGTAATAAATGCAGAATTTTCATGAAATTCATCGAAATTACTTCAGTAGAATAAAATCTGAAAAAAAAAATGTTAAAAACATTAAAGTATTATTATTTGTTTTGCACTGATGAATTTTATTATAAATAAATTAAAAATTCTTGTAACATTATGAAAGATCTAAGGAGGATCTAGGAGGAGTATTTAAAAAATGTTTTGAAAAGCATAATTTTCATAAATTTCAAAGTAGAATTAAATCTGAGAAAGAAAAAATGTTAACATTTATAACTAAGTCAAATTTATGGCATAAATTTTGAAATTTTTATTGTTTTAAGATTATTATGGAAATTAATTATATTATGAAATAAATTAGAATTATTAGAAATTTGTAATACATGCAGAATTTTCATGAAATTCATCGAAATTACTTCAGTAGAATAAAATCTGAAAAAAAAATGTTAAAAACATTAAAGTATTATTATTTGTTTTGCACTGATGAATTTTATTATAAATAAATTAAAAAATCTTGTAACATGATGAAAGATCTAAGGAGGATTATTAGAGGGGAGAAGAGATGTAATCAAAGAGTAGAATTATGTGAGACAAAACTATAAGTATTTACGAATGCGACCACGCAAAAATCTACAGACGTCGGGGATCGCCCACGGCCTGCAGACATCATCAAATACCCGAAGAAGAACTTATGTAAACAAGTGGATATGTGCACTTGGCCCGAGGCCGCACCGAAGAAACGTTTGGTTTGTAAATTGATATTCCTTGGTTTGCCCCAACCGAAACGCACAGATCCCTCAATAAGCCTTATAAAAGGGCACCCCTATTCCTTCGCATCGTGTTTTTCCTCATCAAACAGAAGAAAGTGTTAAAGACACTTAGCACTCGGTCACTAGATTCCATTCATTCCGTATTTAACAAAAAAGAAAAGCAGAAAATAAAATATACATTCGTGCATTATAAGAGACAAAAAAATAACATTTAAGTAATTATTCTCTTCATAAAATTAATACTATAAATCCTTATAATATCTTACATAAACTTAATAGAATATTACAAGAGACTCTTAAAAAATGTTGATATGGCTCAACTAATTTTTAAAATGTTAAACTTTGCAAATTATTCAGATTTTTTAGTTTTTATACCAAAAACTTTGCGGTTTCCAATATTTTCAGGTATGGCCAAAAATTTCTACAAATATGAGTTTTATTTAATAAATAATTCTTCTTAGAGAGAAATTAATGAAATTCGATATGCTTCTTCTCTTTTCCATAAGTAATCTGCATCAATTTGTGGATCCCCAATTAATCGTGACAAAATTTGGTACATCTTATATTTCTCCCTGGAAGGACCTTTTTTCTCATTATAAGATCTAAAACACGTCCGCACTTCCACGCTTGTCGCCTTCTTGGAGGGAAAAATAAAGAATCATAAAATTTTATTGGTGAACCATTATATGTTACTTGACACTTATCGCTCATTTTAATTATATTATTACACTTATAATATGCGCTTCTTTATAATAATTAATTATCACAATTTTGATATGAATGTTATTTGTTTGTGATTTAAAATCAATTAATCGTAATGATTAAAATTTATAAGATTAATGAACAAACAAAATCCCATTGCATGTATTTAAGAAATTAAGTAAATTATAAAAATCTGTATTAGTTATTTGTAAAGATTGTATTGAAAAAGTACGGTTCTAGATTAATCTATAATGTAAAACGTTTATATTTCCGAACAAAATTACAGATTCTCAGCAACAACAGCTCTTATGAACAAATTTTATTCCTAATTTGTAATCTAAGTTAAATTATAATACGAAAAATGACTCATATAAATAATAGCAATTAGCAAATGTACGCACACATAAATATTTTTTTGATAAATACAAAGATTGAATTTCTTAAAATGTTTTTGAACTTTGGAATAAAATAAATGTTAGTAGGTTTATAATTAAACAAATGATACATTTTTAATGAAAACCCCAAAATTATGTCAGCGTCATTATAACTTAAATCAAGATATTTTTGCAAACCATTTATTGCAGTACAATTTTTTTTTTAATTAAATTAAATAATAAGTTCTTCATATTTATATAAGACTTTTTATAACATAAATCATTGGCAATTTTTTTCTTATAAAACTTTTATTTAATGAAAATAAAATAGAAATTTATAGAAATACACTTAACTAAAAATAATTATTATTTATTAGCTCTGAATGTGTAAAATTTAGACAATAATACAAAATTTTATTTAACATGTATAAAAAAAATATAAATATAATTCAAAGATAAAACTATCCTTGTAAAATACCATTCTTACCGTTGGATATTACAACAAGGATATTACATTGTATGTCAAGTATTTGTACTATGTATCTTTCATCTTGTTCACGATTATAAGTAATTTTTGATTTATCCAATAAATCACATTTTTCCCATTTTTCTTGATATGACTCTCCGTTTCTCACAGATTTTAAGACATCCACGACTTTCAACACTTCTGGACAATTGGAAAATTTTTCCTTAAGCTCTTCTATTGTTGTCGATTTACCTACTCGTATCTTGCCGCTCATCTTAATTGGATTAATTCTGAATACACTAACGATGTGTGCTCCTATATTTATATTAATAAATTAACACAATTTTGATATGAACGCTACTGTTGTAAACTATTATCTCTTAATCATAATTATTTAAAAATATATATATATATAATATATGGTTTATCATATACTCAAGTATAATATGTAAGATTATGGAAAAAAAATCCCATTGTATACAATTTCCAATACACTTATAACAATAACAATTAATCAGAAAAAACACACATAAATTTGCCATTAATAAATGTAGATACAAATAAAAAATAACTTTAAAAGTAAACTTTTTGTTTTATTATTATATTATTGTATGGAAATGTCTAATTTTGTTTTTTTTTGTGTTGATTCGAATTTTGATGAGACTATGTACTTTGTATTATTTTTTTATTAACTATGACTAATAGATTATGTGTGATTATAAGTAAGATTATGATAAGAAATTGGTATAAAAGGTGAGCACACAAATATTAGTGTATTATATAATAATCTATTAAGATGGAATCGTGCAAGTATAAATTCATTAAATCTACACCAGTAGAAGAGTATTATCAATTATTTCCTAAATCAGTAGATGAAGAATTGTACAAATGCGTACAAGTATTAGAACTTATAGAAAACAATTTGTCATATTATGTTGAATATGAAACGTGTGATAAATTTGTAAGACAAAGTGAGACTCGAGAACGTGATGCACAATACATTCGACAAATACTTGAAGCTAACCGTCCGAAAGAAAATAAATCTTGCTCCGGCCTATGACTATAAATTATACGTCTTTAACAGTGTTTTTTTAGATAGAAATGTAAGAATATGATTTATATTTACACTTCAAAATGTTTTTTTTTTTAATTTGCATGTTTCTTAATTTCCTTATATTTTATAAGAAAAATCTTCTTAATAAAAGTTATAACGATTTTGACATAATTACGAAGTTCTTATCGAAAATGTACCAGTTGTTTTTTTTATTAAAAAATAAAAATTAATACTAGATTAATATACATAAATTTAACAATTTTGATATTATTACAAAGTTCCTATTGAAATAATTATAAAAAAAATAACAAAATCCACTTTAATCTTTGATATTAGTAAATTCGAAAAGCATATTTCATTGATATAAACATATTTTCAAATGGAACTTCAAGATTACATCAAAATCTTTATTAACAAGATATTTCGTAGAAACCATTGATTATATTAATAAAAATTTAAATTAAAAATTAAGATTTTGTATTAGAAGTTTTAGAATTTTGATCAGTTTGTGATTTTTCTAAGTTTTGCTTTTTCTCAAATATATTATGTGTGTGTGGTCCATGGGTGATGTTTTAGACGTGATTAGTATCATTAATACTTAGGGGGCGGTGGAGCTGACGGAATTTATGAGATGTGACCACGCTTGGAATTAGTTCCGCCTCACAGCTACGCTACAAATTGGATTCCAAGAAGCCGTTGATACCCTTGTCAAACAAATGCATTAATGTATCCACAACATTATAATTATCTATAGCTCATCATAGTATGATGATAGTCTCAATAACTAATATTTACATATAAACTATATTTGCAAAGCTAAAATATATATATTATCAACTGTTTGAATATGAGATTTAAACGTTTCTACCTAAATTGTAAAATAATAAAAGAATGTACAAGCTTTATGCATTTCTAATATTGAAACAGTCATTGCCTTTTGCAAACGTGTCTATAAAATCGAAGATTATAAAATTCTCTAATAAACTATAATTGTTAAGAAATTCGATGTCATGATTATATGTATATATAACTAGTATTAAGTAATATTGGAAGAAATGCAAAGATTATTGAAATTCCATTTGAATTTTTCCTGTATATTCAAAATTAAGCATTAATAAAAAGTATTTTGTATTGAAATTGAATTGAATTGTATTTATTATAATGGACTGTATAATTTAATTTGTTTCTTCTTCATCTCAATACTAGAATTAGTTACAAAATCCTGTGTTTTTCTATAAAATTAAATAAATTATGTAATCATTATTCCTAGAGGTTTTCACCTCCTATGATACAACTTAAATGAAAACGGTAAGTATGCAACCTTACAACCATATTTTGTAGACAAGGCATTTCTATATATTTTTTAAATCTATTTCATGAAAGATGATATTTTTAGATTCTTGGAATGTCATGATTATATAAGTAATATTATGCAATATTTCATCAATTTCCAGGCGCAGCCATCTGGCGGCAACTTTACTACATGGAATATAAAGTAATTATGATAGTAAACTATATGCAACCAACAAGTCTCAAGTAAAATTATTGAAATGTCATATTATAAATTTATTGTATTTTAAAATAAAACATTACATAAAATAGTTTATTCCTTCAAAAATGTATATATTATTCTGGACTGTAAAATAGTTGTGATAGAATGTGATGTTTATTGACTAGATGTGCTACAATTTGATTGCAATGTATTGTTCTTTGTCTTGATAAATTTCATGAACTTCCTGTGCAGTTTGTTTAAGTACTCGACAGACTTAGTTTCAATCTCTTCAACACACTCATTGCCATCTAAATAACTGCACGCATCCATCAATTCTTTGAGTTCCATATTTTCCAACACATTGATGTGTGGCTCCTCACTCTTCGAGTCATATACAATGGTCCAAATTTTAAATGCCCTTCTGTACTTCAGCAGTTGTTTATTTATAAATTCTGTGAAGTATTTCCGGCATTCGTCGTTTTGCAGGGCGTTCATTAAACGCTCGTTAAACCTCCTCAAATCTTCCTGACTGAACTTACACATTTTGGTTTGGCATTAACACTATCTGCAACAAAACATACTTGATGTTAAAGCATGAAAAAGAAGACAAGTTAACTATACCTATTAATAAATTATATGCTATATAAGTACACTTGGTTTCGTTGTTTACATTGCGTAGTTTGTATTTTTTTTTTTTTCAAAAATCGCTCTTCTAAATATTGGAATAGTTGAAAATAGTCTTGACAGGTGAAAGAATACTGTAGTGATCTGTTATTGTCGTTAGTGGCGCTACTATCGCATATGTTAGTCAATACTTCGGTAATTCAAAAAAGAACTATTTAAACAACATTTCAGAACTACAATTTGATCAGAGCTCAATGAGCATTTCAGAACTACAGTCAATATTAGAAGAAACTCAGATTATGTTGTCTGTATGCAGACTTTGATGTGTTCTAAACTTTATTATCTTTATTGGGTTTCCCCAATAAAGATAATATTATTATATACTTAATTTGTTATCAAATCCATAATATTATTAAGATCTACTTCAATCAATATTACCTTTAACGAAGTTTTATAACTGTTCCAATTATAATGGCGGAAACTATCCTTGATATTCATAAACTAAGTAAGAACAGTGGTGGTTAATAAAGAAGATAATTGAAAGCCCAATTATTACTTAATAATAAAAGCAACTTCTATGAACTGCATTGCGATTACCGACATAAAAAATAAATAAAAATTTGCATATTTATCATCTAACTAGACTTTCAAGGATATCATTCAGTTTAATTTCTCATAAATATTAACAGGTTATATAATTTGTACATTTCATTGGTTTATTTTATATTTTTTTTAATTATTGCATATTTAATTAACAATTTTTGTTATTTTATTATAACCGCAAACCAGACAAATAAATGTTGTATTATAAAATTTATTGCTATAAATCTATATAACTATTAGCAAATAAATTCTTACATAATCTAATACATAAAAAAATATATTTCCGTATGTGCGGACCTCTTCAACTCTTCTTCCAGGAGTAAAACATCTCCAAAGGTTTGTTAACCTTCCAGAATTTGTCATTAACCTGACCCAGGTTTTGATTCCCGTTCAACTGAACGTACTGTCCAGTAGATGGTGAAATGTAAATGCAGAAATTCAGTAGATTGTGCGGCAATTGCGATTGAGAATGGAAATCCAACGTCAAGCGCATCGCCAAATATTTGTGCAGATGATCCACTGTTGCGTTTGCCGTAGTCTTGATGTATCTCACTGAGTTCTCCTTCAGAGCCTTCACCAGTTGATTATCGCTGGCCATCTCGGTGGGATGCGGCTTGAAGACCAACTCAATCTCATTAATCGTCAATGGCTCAGAAGCACCTTCACCTTCAGTGTCAGTTTGTTCTGTGCGTTCCGACGATTCGCTCTCCTCGCTTTTCTCCGAGGTCAAGACGCTTTTGGTCCTTTTCCCCGCTTTGCTGATTGAGCTGACACTGGATGAAACCGGACTCGGAGGTTGCGAAGGAGTGCTTCGTCCTGAAGGCGCTGGACTTCCAGGAATCAAATTCGAAGGCGCTGCGCTCGTTTGAGTTGTATTTGCTGCAGGTGCAGTACTTGAAGAACCTTGCTATAAATTATAAAATCAATTAACAAATGATTAATGACATCTACAAAGAATATTACATTCTCTGAAGGATTTGTTTCAGAAGTTACTGTTGCTGAACTGCTTTGATCATCATTGCCTTTTTTAGATCTGTTTCTATTAGCTGATTGCAACTTCATCCCTTCATTGATTGAATTGACCAAGGCAGCTTGTGAGTGATTTTTGTTTATATTGGCCAGCACTCTCTCTTGGTGAGCTTCATATTCATCACGGCTTGGATAGATCTTAGAGATGAGCAGATCAAAGTTTGGATCTGGTCTCAAGGATCTCTTTGAAACTAACTTCTTCCTACATGTTGGGCACTCTTTGTTACCAGATCTCAGTGCAGTTATAATGCATTCTGAGCAGAATCTGTGAAGGCACTCTTTTGTTGTCATTGTTTTCTTGAGCATGTCAAGGCAGATTGGGCACATGAGCTCACTGTGCAGGCTTCTTGGAGACACCGCTATTTCTGTGTTATCCACTATTGCTTCCTGCGGAGCCCTACGCATCTCGTACAAAGACAGATCCCATGTTTTGTTCAGACCAATTTGTTCTGCACTTGCCATCTTTAGTATTAACTAATCTTGCACTTTCAGAAATTGCACAACTAAACTTAAAGAAAAATTAAAGAATTTACGATCAACTACATTACATATCTACAGAATAGCAGACACAACAACAACCATAAAAAAACAACTGAAAACAACTTTTGACAATTAATCTACTGAACAGTAATACCAACATATTGAATAAATTATCTATTCATTTAAAAGTTGCTAAATTTAATATTTTTACTTTAAGAATATTACTTTTATTACTTTAGATTAACAATATATACAACCTACTTATAAATTATCAATAACCTAATAAACGTATATATGGTTGCCTATGTATTAAAATGTATAACTACCAGTGTTTCCAAAACTTCTGTATTATTTAGTTTCTCTTCATTTCAGATATATACAAAACATATAGCTTTAATAAAAAGTTTATGAATTATTAACAATTGTTATTTTACTTAAGCATTGCATATAACTGCTTAATTTTAGCATCCAATATTTCCGGGCATGAGCCATGCTGCACGACTTTCGGTTCCTCATCGTGATACTTTCGTTGCATTTCAACGCACGTTTTTAAAACGCTGTGCATCTTTTGAATAGCTTCATCGAAGTCGTCCGTGTAAATCTGAAACAAGTATAAGCTTCAAACATGCTTTAAATATGCATAAACATCTACTTACAATAGCAAAATACAAGCCTGGATTAAATAAATACATCTGAAGGTATACATCTCTTTTCTGCATTTGCTCTTCCATAAAGAAATCCATGCAGACTTCGCAGTCGTCCGTGAAATCTAAATTACAACTTTAACATAATTATTTGATTATAATAATTAATAATAATATTACTTTGATTGCTCTTTTCTGCACAGATCAGGTATTCGAAATAGGCTCTAGCGTTTTTACCGACTAGAGAACTTGCCCCGGTTTTCTTGAAGTATTCGGAAGTAACGAGCATATCGTTAATTTCGGATATAGAAGGTGCCATTGCATCTGCAATGTACTGAGGTCCTTTTTTATCTTCATTTTTATCATCAACGAAACAAATTTTCTTCTTTGTACTCGAGGATGATCCGGCCGCTTCAATATTTTCGCATTTGGATGTCTCCTCAATTTGTTTTTGACGCTCTAAACTACTTTGGTTCGGCTCAGTGGACATCGACGAAAAGGAAACGGAGAAAGATGAATTCATCTAAAATTTCAATAGCATTTATTTGATTTGGATTCATGATGATGCATACTAACGGATCTCTCTGTGCTCGTGCGCAAAATTGGAATCATTTTGCTACAAAAAAATAATTGTTGAATAAATAATTTTAATATAAACAAATTCACCTGGCTTCAGTTTGCGTTAGGCTTTTGCTCATGCTTCCTAAAGTGTTAACAGATTTTGGACAGTAGATCTCTTCCAAATCATCAATTATTACTTTAGGCTCTTCTCCAGGCAATTTTTCCTCATGCGCATATATTGACTCCTCCTCATCTTCCTCCAGATCAAAATGATTACTTTCCTCTTGCTCGTTTTCAATTTTTGTCTCACCCGGCGATCTTAACAACAAAATAAAATCATTGAAGAACATAAGGTTGACAGAGATTATTATTTACGGTTGATCCAAGAATTTTAGAAGATCTTCCACTATAGAAGCGCAGAATTGCATTTCGAAATCTTCAATCTTACTCCTCTTCATAGATTTATACTTGAGTATAAAAGCGTTTATATAACTGTCAATGATAATCTTATTACTTAACTAATTGATATCATTGATGTTGAAGCTACCTGGCCATCCACGGTGCACAAGAAAACTTATCTCTTAACCAATTTCTATGCACTTCAGGATCTTTTGGTAAGGCCAAAATCAGTTTGCAATTAAGAAACTTTGATCTAATCTGCAACGCACAAGTCACGTCACAGTTGAAGATCAAGATTCCGGCCTGCTCTGAAATCTTGCTAAATTCATCGTAGCCTTCAATATAATTGGAAATACATTTATATATTTTAATATGTTTAAAAATTTACCAATTCCAAAATGGTGTCCGTATTTCAAAGTGGAACAAAGTAGTTTTCCGTCGTGCAATAACTGCTCGTAAGTCTCGTCAGATACAAAGAAGTAATCTTTTCCGTCGACCTCGTGGTCGCATCTGGGACGAGTGGTGTAGCTTATCCCAACTCTTAAAAACCTTCAAAAAGATGAGTATAATAAAATAAAAAGCAAATAGTATTGCAATTACTTTGGAAACTTTTCAACTAGATTCATAATAACAGCTTTCTTTTTAGATCCGGATGGTCCTACCAAAACTATAATAGAAGCTAGGTTTTGGTAACCGGGAACCACCGAAGAGTTTATAGTAGGGACGTTCAATTGATACAATATCTCCATCATAGCATGATCGTAACCAGCGTCGCGTACCATCGAATTTGTGTATAAATAGTCCACGAATCCTTTCTCGTTGACTTCGATTACTTCCTCATCCAAAACCTTCAGACAAGGCGCCAAGTAGATACAGATTTCCCTATATTTAGTTCTCTTGCAAATCGGATTTCCTTTCAACGTCAATTTGTGAAGATGTGAAAGCTTCTTAAAGCTCGCCAATTCGATCAGATCTACAATGTCATTTTTTTGCAAGTTCAAAGTTTCCAGTTGCGTCATCCTTTCGAACATCTTCAACGAACTCAACCGATTATGCGCTACAGATACATGCACCAAACTGTACACCCCGAAGATGTCGTCTGTGTAATTTGAAATTAAATTGTGATCAATACATAGCCTCTCCAAATTACGCTCAGGCAAATTGGATAAACATTTGATAGCGTTGTAGGATAAATCAAGGTAATTTAAATACCTGAAAGTGCAAGATAATGTATTTTGGGTAGGATAAATCAAGTAGAGATTTTACTTTAAATTTTTTAAACCTTCAATGACGGAAATATCGTTGTGAGAGACATCCAAATAGACCAGAGACCAAAAGTCTGTTAAATCCGGCAACTTTTCTATAGTGTTATGCGAGAAATTTACGTAAATTAAGTTCAGTGGTGGTTTAAAATCCAATAAATCACTTATTATGTTATGCGAGACATCTAAGTACTTTAAGAAATGGAGATAGCTTAGAGCGCTTAATGAATACAGTTCGTTTCGACACAAGTTCAAGTATTGAAGATGTTGATGGTATCGTAAAATGTCTATGTTCACCAAATTCTAATGAGAAAACAGAAGTGTTTAAAATTATAAATTTTGAAATACTAATCTTTACTTTTCTTGATATATTGCAATAGCTAAGTATGAATTGTCCGGGCAAGGCTGATCTTTCCAATTTTGCAGAGCAAACTTCTACTAAACGATCCGTTAAATATCCTGTCTTCTCCAACTCGTTCATCTTCAGACTGATAAAATCACGAGGTTTTGTGTAACTCTCGTCCTTCCATTCTTCCTTAAGGACTATGAAAAGATACGGAATAAAGTTACGAGATTTTTTATATAGAACTTTAAGTACTTTCAATATCGAAGGCATGAATTTGGTAGTCGAAGCAATGAACAGGTGCTAGAATTTTGGGCGTCGTATACATAAAACTCGGTCTCGGTTCTAACGTCTCGAAGATCATGAACTCCGAATCGCTTGTATTTGGAACGAAATTGATCTTCGATTGTTCCGTACTGTAATAGCTCATCTTGTGTTTCTGCAAATGTATAAATCTAGAGACAACTCTTGACAATTCTTGACAATTCTAATTAAAGACAACAGATACATTTGTTTATATTTCAAATTATATTAATAAACAATGGTATGTTGATGTAAGTTAATGAAATTCAATAATTTATATAATACTTTACTATTTCTTTATTTGAAAATGAAATTGAGCCTAACATCTTGAAAAGCCTTCCATAACTAAGAAGAAAACGTATTCCTAAGTATATTTAATCCAATCCAATTGGAATTCATTAATAATTTAATACCATTGATAAACATGAATACCTACACATTTTAAATTAACAATTAGGCGCCATCTACGGGATTATAGATAGTTGAATGAAGAGTTGGCACCTTTGATGGTAAAAATAAATAATACCCCAGATCCCAGATGTGGTGTGATCAGCTGTGAGTAGTTTTGTCAAATGATTCTGAAAGTTTTCCAATGAATTTCCATTTTCCAAATGGATTGATCGACCTATTAGTGGTGTTGACGATTCGGTAGCACCGTTAGGAAACTACAAATAGTCACAGAACCGCATTATCTCAGGAAAAATTTCAATGATAAAAATGATAACATATCAGTGGCATTAGCAGAGACGAGACGACAAAAGTTTGTTTTTCTTTTGGTTCATTCTTTTGTTTCTTTTTTGTCGTGTTGTGGACGGATCAGTTGATTGGCTGCACAACACATGCAATTCAACTGTAAGGGTTCTATTTTTAGTGCATTACCATCATTAATTACATACAATTTGCAGTGACATTTGAGAATTTTGCACTGGGGCAATGCTAGTGGGACCCTGTGCATCTCCGCGAATAGTGGGTTGGATTAGTCTGAGGCCCTCAAATGGGCAATTGTTTAACTTGCTTCAAGGAGCCCAGTCCCACGGCCCTCGAGAACGATACTCCACCTGCCACTAAAGAGGGTATGCTCTATATTGGATGGTTGTAATTACTATGTTTACAATATGTAATTTTAGAAATGCCTGAAGCTCATCCATACACAGCTACAGTTGTTCAGCTGAATCCCACTGTTGCAGAAGTATCTCTAGCTGAGCAGTCTCTGCTGAGCAACGGCAATCATCTGTCTTCTTCACAATTGTCTGATAGTGCACCAGCTGCAGCTATAAGGTTTTACCAGAGAAGGGGTCAATCAAAATCAGCACCCATGGGTTTGTCAGATAGTAAACCATCTGATGTTAAGTTGAATGCCTTGTTTGATGTGTACAAAGATGAGGATGATTGCATATTAGCTGATGGTATTGAGCAATTGTGCAAGGACCTTCAAGTGTCTCCGGATGAGTTCAAAGTGCTGCTGCTGGCGTGGAAGCTGGAAGCAGCACAGATGTGTAGGTTTACGCGTGAGGAGTTTGTGACTGGTATGAAGAAGTTACGCGCGGATTCCATAAAGAGCCTTCAAGCTCGATTGCCGGAGGTCGTGGTCGAAGTGGAGCGTAACGATGAATCCTTCAAGAATCTCTACAGGTTCACATTCAAGTTCGGTTTGGATTCGGCGGAGGGCCAACGTATCCTGCCCATGGATGTGGCAATGATACTTTGGCGATTGGTGTTCACAGTGCGCGAACCGCCTATCCTCGATCGTTGGCTGAACTTCCTCAAGAAACACGAACAGTATAGGGGAATTCCCAAGGACACCTGGAACATGTTCTTGAACTTCTCCGACACCGTTGGCGACGATCTCAGCTCGTACGACGACAACGAGGCATGGCCTAGTCTTTTCGACGACTTTGTCGAATTCGAAAACGACCAGGCCAACCAGAATGTGACTAAGGACAAGGACTGTGAAGGCCTAATTATAACTAAAGACGACTGTCTTTGCGAGTGATTGCGCCCACCACCGTCTGATTGATATTGAGAGCTGTGTATTTTTTTTTGGTTCTTCTTTCCTTTCTATTTATTTTTTTTTGCCACTACAAAAATGCCCTACAGAGGACTTTTATATCAATTGTAATATCTTAACATAGAGAATTTTTGTAGTAGCAATCCTTTTTTTTATTTTTAAGTGAAATATATAATATTTATATTATTAAAATTTAAATATATAAAAACTGCCTATGTATTTTAATATTTGAGTATATATATATTGTATAAAAGATGAAATCTAAATATCTTTGATGATATTGCAGTTGTCTAAGGTGGCGAAGACGAAAAGAAGAAAGACCTGTACTGACAGAAAAGCAACTATGTTTATTTTTTTTTCTTTTGGTTTTGATTGTTTTATGTCTATGTTGATGTAGCTTTGTTTAGTTTGTAATGCCGACAAGACAAACAAGAGATATTGTAAAACCTAAAACTAACAAAAAGAAGGCAGTAACAGAGAAAAATGAATTGAATGAATATTTTTAAAATCATAGTGTTAGTTTTATTTATACCGTATGCAAATTTACAAAACTTGTTAACAATTATCACGTCTTGTTTAATTCATATAATGAGTCATATTCAACATTTTCAATACAAAAATCCATTAAGTTCTTTGATAACTAGGAAATTAAAACAGAAAATAATAGATTCTCTAACATAATTGATATACTAAACGTATCTTTATTTCCTATCTAAATTTAATAAATATTAAGAAATTTGTGTAATAGAACAGAATTATATTATATATATCAATAGTTATTTTTGCCAAAAAACAAATTTTGAAAACAAAAGTTGGGATTGATTTTCTTTCAAATTTTACTATCACAAAAAATAAATAAATAACGCAAATGAGATCTCGCTTTACGAAACGATTTCTTAACTTTTTATTGATAAATTAATAATTTTCAGCTGTAATTGTAGACTATTATTAAGATGAGTCTACAATGTATACCAATTTTTAAAATATGTTAATTTTATTAAATAACTTTAACTTTTTTGTTTAAAAATAGTAATTACATGTATTTTAAATTAATATTTTAGTTTATATCAACATACAGTAATAATTTATATTTTTTTTCTTAGAAATCAACTGCAACCAAATATACACAAGATCACTAGAATGACATATTGGCAGATCGATAATGTTTTCGACCGGTCACACCCCCCTGGGTCACACCTAGATTTAGACTTTGGTACAGCTGATGTTTGTTTTCCTGTGGGTGTTGCATTCAGAAATGATGTAAATGTTTAAAATGCACGGATACTTGGAAAGAGATGGTGATTTCTACAAGACAAGCTTCTCAGTGTTTATGGCCTTCTTCTACTTGAAAATCTTATACTTTTTAATAATGGCTTTGTACATTGTCTCACGGTTCAATCAATTCAACATTTAGTGTATCCTCTGTTATCCCTCAGTGCAGCCATGGACCCCAATTGTGGAGATATGATTTTGTCTCATACTTATGACAAGAACATTTATTTTGTACCAGAAGATGTTGTCATGCATTTTGAACCATACCATTTTCCTGCACTCAGATTTTTATTTGATACCTTTAGCAAAAAACAGCATGGGGCTATTCTCAATCTCAGTGAAGATATGATTTTTGAGATGCCAGTGGCTGCATTGCTTTGTTCCATTTCCAAAGATCATGATATACCTTCATTAATTATTTGCCATAATGATAACTGGTTTACATGGCTCTATTACTTGAAATTATACTCTAAATTAAAAGTTTTTCAGTTAACACAACACAGTGAGTATTCTCCTATGAATGTAAGATTTAAAATACATGAATATTTTGTTTCAGATGCTCACAATTTATTTGCACAACAAGAAAAGAAAGTAATTTTGGTGCTGGAGAGAGATTTAAAATATTTACAAGACTACACTGAAAATGATTTCTTCCTCATTTGTGTTGAGAACTTGGATACAGTTATCACATCAAGAGTAATGAATAAACTTACTTGTTTTTACACTATTGGCTTAACTTCCATTAATCCATATGTAAGTTTGTGGTATAATTAGCCTTCAAATATAATTTATTTCATTTCTTTTAGAAAAATCGTGATCAGAAATTACTGTGGAAAATGTTGAAATGGGTAGATCCTAGCAAAGCTGTACCATTTGCAGATTTCGCTAAGTATGTTTTTTTTTCGTATATGATCATTCGTTCTCTACAAAGATTTTCTTATTTCAGGGAGGACTCTGAAATGTTATCTCAATTGGTTGAACCATATACAGATACATGGATGAGATTGACATGGATTTTTGGTTTCACCAAACCATCAGATGAGGAGTTGGTGAAGAGAAAAAATGCAATTCGCAAATGGTGCGAAGAAAACAATATAATTTCGCAGGAAACTGAAGCAGAAAAGAAGGCGAAGAAACGTAAATCAGTTAAGAATACCGAAGAAATCGCATCGACTAGCAAAAAACGTAATGCTTTCTCGCAGAACGAAAGTAACTTAAAATTAGTTGATTTCATCGATGAAACGATTATTGACGAGTTTTCGAACAATTGGACTTTGGATGAAATCAAGAAAATATCGAAACCAGCCCTGGGATTAAAGAGACACGCATCTGATATTGCGCACTATCACGATAAGTTACACAAATGTATCAAGGAGGATTTTGAGGAGGATTTCGCGAAATTGCAGCAATCGTCCAAAAGGAAATTTGAGGAAGAATTTGGAAGTCAGGAGGAATTTGATGAGAAACGTCATTTGAAAGTTATACTTGGTGATATAAAACAATTCTTTGGAGAGGGTTCGCCCCCAAAAGAGGTTGAACATCGCGATGTTGAAGAAACAGAAAATCTTTTAGATGTAAAAGACTTTTTCGAGACTGCGCCCGAGGATAACGCGAAACAAGATGAAGATATTTTTGATTCATCTGATGAGGTTATCGCATTCAAAGAAGCCGAACCTGAGGTCAAACGCTCTGAGAACAAAGATGCGAATAACAAGGTGGTTTTGAAAGGTATCCCTGAACTGTTCGAATGCATAGAGTTATCTCCATTAGATTTCGATTCGTCGCTCGAGATTAAAGAGGACAATGATAAATGTTTGAACAAAGTCAAGGAGTCAAGAACAGATTTGAATGAAACGAAAGAAAAACAAATGAGCAATAAGAAGAGTAAACCTTTCGAACAATTACAAAATTTATTCCCGTTTTCCCCACTTCTATCCGACGATTTCTCCGATGAAGACGAGGTAATCTTGGAAGAGATTAACGATGAAGTGAAACCAGAAATAATAACAAAAGTAACACCAAAGAAGATTATTACGAAAGAGAGTATACTGGTTTCGATATTTGGTGAACATGATGAAGTTGTCACTAGCTTCAGAAAAAATCTGATGCAAAGGGAGTCGGAAATTCCGATAGAAGTTATCGACGATTTAACGAAACCTTGGATGGACTAATAAGGATTCTGACGGATTTATGTTTATTAGATGAAGATAAATGTTTGTTACATTGTCGAATTGACATTCATTCTTCATTTGTTATAGTCGTCGTAGAAGAATTTTTATTTTTGTTATTAATTTTACATATTTTATTGATTGAAACATGTTTCGTGCTCATCTCTGTGGAAAAAAGCTGTGACTATTTTATGATTTCTTATTTTAAAACATTTTAGTTATATATGTATATTTTTTACTACTTTCTACATTCATATAGCTACTGAAATAAATATATTGATGTAATATATGTGTAATGTATTATCTTATAAATTGTTTTATGAATAAATAAATAAGAAATATACTTTTTAAAATTTACTTATTTCTCAAATTAGAAGTTTTTATAATGATAGTTCCAGTTTTATTGCTGTTGCGAATTGATTGATTATCCCAAAAATATTATTGTAATTAGGTACACTATTACATTTATATGATTATTATCTAGGATTTTCTTCAAAATCGCTGTTTGTTTATTTAAATTAGAACGGTTTTAAAGTGGATTTTATGCAGCGCCAAAATGCCCGAACTAAGACCTTTGAAATACTGCTAACAGATGATACTATCACAAAAAAAGAATATTCATTTTGCTCCTAAAGTACAGGCAACCAAACATACATATAAACTTTAATGACAAATAGAAAAACAACGTCTTAGACCTGTATTTTCGTAAAAATTAGCTCCCAGAAGAATGTTATACATTGATGTTGATCTTGAATATACAGGGATTAAAATGAGCGCAAATATTAATTTGTAGCTGCAATGGTGTCTTCATAATTGATTAACAAACTTTGGTATTAGACAAATGAGTTGGGAAAATAACGTCTTCGAAAATGTCCTGTATTTTCGTATACACCAAATTTCAGAAGAGTTTTGGACATTAATGTTGATCTAATGTTGAATATAGAGAGATTAATATGAGTGTAAATACCGGTTTGTAGCTACCATAGCTTCGTCACAATTAATTATCAAACTTTGGTATTAGATAATTTGGAAAACAACGTTTTCGAAAATGGCCTATATTTTCGTAAGCACCTTAAACATGAATGTTGATCTACAATATACAGAGATTAAAATAAGTGAAAATATAGATAGTTATATAAAATACTTGTATCTGGGGATTTGAAGAAAATTTTTTTTTCCAGTATTTTCAATGAATCTAGCATTTAGAAATGTTATGCAGTCTCTAATGATCATGTACAAAGCAACAATAGAATCATGGGTACTACAAGGTTCATATTTCATAGTTCATTTTTGGTCACATTCAGCAGTTAAGGTTTCCACTATTTGCAAATGAAAACTGCTAGTAAAGAATGCTTTCCACTTTCTGGAGAACTTGAGGTCATCAACTATACATTAGAGGTTTGTTGCTATCAGCTCAACCTAAAATAATAAAAAATGTACCAATGATTGTTACAAGTTGACTATTTACCTTATGTCTATTAACGATTAATGCACATTCTTATATGAAGACACTGATTCAGTATGTTTATTGTAAAAGGAGTTTAAGAAGAATTGTATGTTTTCTAAATACAAACTTTAGTGATAGATGATTACATGTTCCATTAGTACTTTCCTGAAGAGAAATAGAAGAAGGAAGCAATGGAGCATGTTGTTCATTAAGTTTGCATTCAGGCCAATGTAGCATAAACAGGAAATCCAATAAAAACCTTTAAATTTAACTTGCGACATGACAATTCGCTCTCACACGTAAATTTCAAATTACAACCAATCAGAAACGACCGATGCTAGAAGCTTAGATACCTCCTCACTACTCATAGTCTCTTAATGTAAATCGAAATTTTCTGGCATTTTCGAGAATCAAGGGAGGGGGGTCGACTTGCGTTTTGATTCGCGAAAAAATCCAACTCATTAAAGCTTAATAACTTTATTATTAATTGACCAAAACTAATTGTATGTTATAGCAAACGAAAGCGAAAGAATTATTCTTTAAAACAGTAAATTAAAATTTTCTAATATATATGAAATATAACTATTTATATAACTATTTATTTAACTATTTTTTGCAACACCTTCCTTCACGTTTTTTTTAAATTAATCGATTACCACTCGTGCTAATTAAACCATCGAATACGCAAATTAAAGACAAAACTATAACCTTTTCAATGAGCTAACTGCCGGTATTGCGGTTTGGTCAGTACATCTACTATAAGTTATCGAAATTGAACATTTTATTTTCATTCTCAATTCAATTTGTTGAGATAAGTACATCATTGACTATACAATTTAAAGCTGAATACCTCACCTTTCCAACTAAACTATTGGCATCTTCGTGCTGTCGTCGAGTCGTCTGCTATGAGGTGTAGAAATAGGAAAATAGGATTATCTTAAAAATTGCTGTTTAGTTGATATCCGACGACTTTTCACGTTCTTTCTTAATTACACGAAAATTACGTAACTTAGATCCTAGGTTCAATAGGCCTCAAAATCAGTTTGCGTTTAGGGTCTCGCAAAGTCATGATGCGCCACTGACTATTATTTCAAGATCAATGTAATAAAGTTTTTTTTTAAACTACAAATAATCAATTTTGAAGATAATACCTAAAATTAAATGTATTAATTGTATAGTTTATTGTGAAATATTATTAGACATTGGGTCTATAAAATTAAGTTGTATTTAATTGTTTTATTCAAATAATGTGATTACATCGAAACTTGTCGAAATTTAATCTGTACTAGTTTCGTGAAGTGGTCGTCGCTTTAAAATAGATTTTCAATGAAAAAAAAGTATTATTTGGAAGAGTTAGATGACTATTTTAATTGTTCGCAATCTCTGCTGAGCACAATTGACTAAAGATATAAATCCAGATACAACAGGAAATTACATCGTTTTACATGGAATGTGTAAAAGGAACATAACAAATAAATACAAATATTTTTTATATAAAAATTGCTCGGTAATGTTTGCTGGAATTTGGAACCTGATTGGGTTCTAATTGCAAAAAAAAAAAAACATTGCGCAGAACTTACCGATGTCGATAAGTGTGACATACCTAGATTACTATCTTTTTACGACGATCAAAATCGCCGTTAATTAATTGGACCTCGACACGATTAACATTATAAATCGATTTTCGATGAATGACTACACAACAAATAAGCCCACTTCATTGTATATTTGTGTCCCTTTTTCGGTATAATAACAACAATATAAACATTTCCTTGCATTGATGTTATTTATAAACGTAAATCTTATCTATGCTTGCTTATAAACAAAAATCGAGACAGAACATTTTCAAAGTTTGTGCTGCTTCCGAAATGCTAGAATCGTTGAAGAATACTCGGTACATGCAGGTGGCAGCCGCCATGGCCGGTATTACCATTGCCATCTCTGTAATCTGGTTGAAATTTAACTGATATAATTTCAGGTTCTACCTCGACCATGGCTATAACTGCATACACTGCATGGTCTTCACCAGCTATAGTTTTATTACAAACTGGTGATTCGCCAATTGGGAAGCCCTTAAGCAGTGTACTATAATATACTAACATTTGGTAGTGACAGGCTAACGTAACAAGTTTTAGGAGGAGCTATCATGGGTGGTGTCTATATATGTATTAGCTGGTATTTCAGTAGCTCCAATCCTTTCGCTAATGCTCGACAAACTTGGCAGGAAACCAACTGTTTTGATTTCATCGGTGTTACTCTTCCTTCCGTGGTTATTGATCATTTTCGCGCAAAATGTGTGGTTCCTATACATAGCTAGATTCATTGGAGGCGCTGGAACAACTATGGCTTTAGCGGTGAGTACCACCAAACAAAAAAGAGTAATAATTTAAAAAAAACCTATTTTAGACTGTATCCATTTATAATGGAGAAATGTCCGATCCGGATATTCGAGGAAAACTGGGCACCACTTTCAGCTGGCTGAAGGTCATAGCCAATTGCTTAGTACTGGGCATTGGACCTTTCGTATCTTACGTATCACTAGGAATACTCTGTGCGGTTTTCCCGTTGCTTTTAGCAATAACCTTCGCATTTGTCCCGGAATCACCGTACTACCTCATAAAGACTGGTAAAAAAGACGAAGCCCGAAAAGCGCTAATGATATTTGCTGCTAACACCACGGATAGCAGCGTGATAGAGAAAAAGCTGTTGAATATCGAGGATAGCATTATAAATGAAAATATATTAAGTTTGAAGGAGTTTTTCATGGGAAAGCAGTTCCGGAAACTCATCCTGATTACCATTGGTATAAAGACCATGCAGCAGATGAGCGGTTACATGGCCGTTAAATCCTATTTGCAACCCATCATCTCGTCGACTGGAAGCAGTCTTCCAGCTAAATATTCCAGCATCATTTTCGGCGCAGTCGAAATCCCAGCAGGTATTAAAGACACAATAATAATAAATTTGCCAAATTAATATTTTCTCATTACAGCTATATTGACAACCAGTTTAATAGACAGAGCTGGAAGAAAGCCAATGTTAATCACGTCGTGCATTGCAAGCGCAATAGCACTAATATCTGAAGGCACTTACTTTTTTCTCCAAGACTACAATAAGGAAGACGTCTCGTACTTGTCATGGCTTCCGACAACGGCAATTGTCTTGTTCATAATCGCCAGTAACTTGGGTATAATCAACTTACCTTACGTCCTCATCGGAGAACTGTATCCTTCCAACATCAAAGGAATTGCTGTGACGGTTGGAACTTGTTACGCTAATATCCTTGCCTTTCTGGTTACCAAGTTCTTCGCACCAGTCTCAGAAGCTTGGGGCATCTACACGATTTTCTGGATTTACGCAGGATTCTGCGTAGCTGGTGCGATTTTTGTTTCCATTTGTTTGCCTGAAACTAAAGGCAAGACTTTAGATGAAATCCAGCAGTGTATAAACAAATCAAAATCTTCCAACATCCATAAAATTTAGATCTGAAATGCATTTTATTATAAACGTATTACATTAGTATATTTTTACATTGTGCTTTATATTAAAGTAGTAATTCTCATTTATGTACTAATTCAAAATAAGTTTATCTATAATTTATATGTATACTAAAATAAACATTCAATGTTTCATTTGAATTTTCTTTACGATTTATATAATTACTCGACAAAAACACATATTAAAAATATATTTTCTACAAATTATTAACATTATCTAAGGAATTCAAACAAGATTGAATATTGGAAGTTAAGTGAATGTAGATTTAAAAAAAAACGTCCTAATAATCTTCGTGTAATGTTTGATTGTAGTACAAATAAACAATTTTAGATATAGTATTAAAATTGTAGAATCAAAATAGTATATTGTGGAATTTTATTAGAATTTGTTTATATAGAAGTTTATATACAAAGGACGAAGCTCGAAAAGTGCTGAAGATATTAGCTGCTGTGTTGTTAGCAGGATAGCGATGTGATAGAGAAAAAGCTGCTGGACATCGAGAACAGCATCGTAACTGAAAATAGTTTAAGCTTGAAAGAGTTCTTCAGGGGAAAGCAGTTCCGGAAACTCATCCTGATTACCATCGGTATCAAGACAATACAGCAGATAAGCGGTTACATGGCCGTTAAAGCCTATTAACAGAACATCATCTCAGCGACTGGAAGCAGTCTTTCAGCTGAATATTCCAGCATCATTTTCGGTGCAGACGAATTCCCAGCAGGTAATAAAAACAACCTAAAAATAAATAGATTGCTAAATTAATATTTTTTTTCATTTTAGCTATATTGTTAATAGACAGAGTAGGAAGGAAGCCAGTGTTCATTATATCTGGTATTGCTAGCGCCATTGTTCTAATATCTGAGGGCATTTACTTCTTCCTACAAGATTACAAATATGAAGACGTGTCGTTCTTGTCATGGCTTCCGACAACAATAATGGTTTTGTTTATAATTGCCAACAACATCGGATCAAACAACCATTCGTCATTATCGGAGAAATTTATCCTTCCAACGTCAAAGGAATTGCTATGACGGCTGGTATTTGCTTTGCCATTTTCCTTGCCTTTCTTGTTATGATATTTTGGATTTACGCAGAATTTTGCGTAGCTGGCACAATTTTTGTTTCCATTTGTCTGCCTGAAACTAAAAGCAAGACTTTGGAAGAAATTCAGCACTGTTTAAACAAATCTAATCAAATTAATTGAAATCATATTTCATTAGTATTCAAAATAAATAAATTAAAACAAAAAATATACATAAATACATACATATATATAAAAACAAATCTCTCAAAGTTAAGTCTATTTATTATGTATTATATAAATAACTATATAATAGTATTTGATAATTTCAATTGGAATTCCATTTAGTAATCTTTGATTATTATCAATTAATTCACTGTCTGATTTATCGATAATGTTTATTTTGAAAATTGTATATAAAACTGATACAAAACAATAATATATTTTTCATTCTTTCAACGATTTTAATTTAAATTGAATTGTTTTATGTAAAAATATTTTGTTTCCTGTACTGCAAAACATTTCGATATTTTGTTAAAAAATAAGATACTAAATCATTATCTAAGGAATTTAAACGAGATTGAATATTGATATTTAAGTGGATATAATCTGATTTAAAACAATATTTACATCTTTGATCTTCATAGCTAAATGATACTTTGCTTTGCGAACATAATTCGTTCTGAAAACGTGTTTGTGATCCAAAGCACTTAAGGCAAATAATAAGAATAATACAGTAATTGTTATTTGAGCATCTGCATGATAATGATCTTTCTCACGTTTGATCTCTAATTTTTCAACGGTATGGACTGGATAATGTCCACAATCTAATCTATTGGCAAAAATTAACGGACATGGCAATATATTGAGTGAGAGCATATGCGTTAAAATCATTCACAAGTGTTGTTGCATTGAGTTAGAGATGTTCGACAATATTAGGTACATGCAGTATTTGTCTGCATTCACTGGTAAATTAAATTTAAGAAATGATGTGTATATTGTAAAAACAACTAAAAGGAATTATTGTTGTTAGCCACGACTGGGGTGATGTCTGGAACTATCTACATGAATTGGCCATCACCGATTTTAGATGACCTGATCAGCGAAAATTCGCCAATTGGAGTGACCATGACTGATGTAAGTTATTTATTTGTAATTTAAAAAAAAATATATATGTTGTTTATAATTGTAGGAGGAAGCTTCTTGGATGGTCTCTGTATTGTTACTGGCGGCACTCCCAGCTCCACCATTCGTTGCGTTACTTCTGTGGAAGATTGGAAGGAAAAGGACATTGCAAATTTCCGGACTATTTCTGTTCTTTCCCTGGTTTTTAATAATCTTTGCAAATGATAAGTGGTACTTGTTTTTAGCTAGATTAATTGCAGGTTTTGGTATTCCGATGATCACAGCTGTAAGTGCTTTAGAAGTACTAACATTAAAAGAAATTTAATTATTTAATTTTTAGTCGTGCTCAATTTACAATGGCGAAATAGCAGATACTGATATCAGAGGAAAACTTGGTACATTCATCAATTTAATGAAGATTGTAGGCTCTCTCATAGTTCTCTCAGTAGGACCATTCGTGTCTTACACAGTAATAAGTTCGATTTGCGCCGCAATTCCTATAGTATTTCTTTCAACTTTCTCCTTTATGCCTGAATCACCCTATCACCTAATGAAGATCGGTAAACCGGATGATGCAAAGAAAGCTTTATACCGATTGGCGGCTAAGAACGTGGAGGAATCTCAGATCGAGAAGAGAATGCTTGAAATTGAAACTACTCTAAAAAAGGATGAGGAAAGTGTTGGTTTCGTTGAGTTCCTAACAAAGAAGCAGCACAGAAAGATCATCTTGTTGATGCTTGGTTTAAAAATGGTGCAGCAGATGAGCGGCGCTGCTGCTATTGATTCCTACATGCAAGATATCATCGCTTCATCAGAAAGTAGTTTGGAGCCTAAATACTCGAGCATCATCTTTGGTGCAGTGCAAATACCTGCAAGTATTCTTGCGTTTCTGATAGTTGATAAGCTGGGCAGGAAACCGATGCTTGTAATATCAGCCTTTGGTTGCGCTGTCGCTTTAATATCAGAGGGAGTGTACTTCTACTTGCAAGATTACTTACATTCTGAGGATATTCAATCTCTGGGATGGTTACCGGTCACTGCATTGGTCCTTTTCCTCTTGATGAGCAACTTCGGTATCTTGAATTTACCATTCGTTCTTCTAGGAGAGATGTTTGCTGATAACGTGAAAGGAGTTGCGGTATCTTTAGCCTCGTGTTTAGGTGCCTTCTTTGGATTCATAGTCTCGAAGATTTTCAATCCGGTGAAACAAGCTTTCGGTATGTACACGATCTTCTGGATTTACGCAGGTTTCTGCGTGGCTGGAGGAATTTTCGTGCTTTTAGCGTTACCAGAGACGAAAGGTAAAACCTTCGATGAAATCCAAGATCAATTCAACAACATCAAAATCAAGAAAGTTGAAGAGAAAAATGGTGACGAGAAGGTTTAAAACGTATTATTCCAATAACGTTTTTGTTTGTTATACAAATGCATTGACACTTATTATTATATAATATTAATTTTGCGAAATGTTGGTATTGGAAAAAAAAAGTAGATAATTAATAATGATTATTTCATTTATTTGTTATACAAATTTTAAATAAAATCGATTTATATACAGTAGCTTAATCTACGTTCAATAAACATACATCGTATTAACTTCTAAATATGTACAAAACTTTTTAAAAATATTTATATTACAAGATGATTAAGCACGTCCTCTCTCGTATTACTTATTACAAAAAAATCTTCAGTCTTATTTAACAACTGCGTAATTATGCGAAGAACTGGCTCTCTGATCAATTAAGTATTAATTAGAATCCAATGACTAGTCATCATTATCGATACGATATTTGTATAAGTTACTCCTTAGGTCACACATAAGTTGAGTAAGTTTCGTCGACGGAAACGTAAACGTAATGTTAGACCATCGTCACGTTTCGCCTCTTCTTCTCGCCGCTGTTGACGGAGCTCATGGATCCCTGAAGACTGGGATTGAATGGAGCTGCAGCTGTGATGATGGTCTCGTTGGTGCGTTGCATCGTTTGATAGATTGGTTGTTGCTGAGGAGGTTGCTGAACGCCGTAGATTTGGTAGTTCACTGGGTATCCGTTCTGGTTGAAGGCTGGTAGTGGAGGAACTGGTGGTGGGACGTGTCCTTGCATGTAATGCTCTGGGGGAATTTGCTGGGGCGGTAAATGGATGGACATGTGTTCGAGCTGTGATAGAGCATCCTGATGTTGTTCATCTTGAAGAAGCATATGTTCCATCGGACTCTGCCTACGTTCGTGCTCGTGGAGCAGCTGTGTGGCGCTCCATGAATTGTACGGACTCAGGGTGTGTCCACGTTGAAGAGTGTTGCTGGAGATGACGCTCAACGCTCCATAATTGTTCGGCGTTCCGTTCATTTGGTCTCTTTGGATCTGCTGTTGCTTCAGTTCTTCAATCAGCTGCTGCTCTTGTTGCTGGACCAGAGAATACCTCTTCTTTGGCTCATCCTCGTACGCGTAGTTATTAACCGGAATGCCAACAGCGTGGTGATCTGGATAATCGTCGGCGTAAGTCTCTTGGTTATTTATGGGCATATTTGCTGGAGATGAAGGCACGATGGTAATAGTCGAATTCAGTTTGTCAGTCTTTTGCGATTTGTGGTCGTTCCTTTCTTTCCTCTTAACAACGCAGAAGTAACAGTACAGGATGAGAATGATTATCAAGAAAATAATTCCGATAACGATGGGTAAGATAATCTCGATGCCGAAGCTCATGCTCTTCGAAATACTTGGTCCTGTGTTTTCGGAAATACCAGTGTTAACTTGGAAAGGCCAAGAGGATTCGTTTGTGGTGAAACTGGTTGGAACGGTTGGTGGTGGTGGTGGAGATGGAACCAAGACACGGACCCAATTTGAGATTGCACCAGGTTTAGAATCTGCGTGAGCATAAGCCCTAACAGCAAAGTACAATGGTTTATCCAACAGCTCGTTCTCGTTAGACATATCGATGGTGAAGGGAGTATCAGACCCTGGTGGTAAGATGGAAAGCGGCTGACGGTTCTTTTCCCAAACAATAGCTGCGGTATCGAAACCATCTACGATGTCCTTCAGAGAATAAGCGTACTTTACTTCGTATCTGGCGACGTTGTGGCCACCCATGTCGGGGGAAGTCCAGGATAGACGAGCCTTCATATCTTCCGGAACGACTTGCACTTTTAAATCTCCGATGCGACCGACGTTGGCCTGGCTGGCAGCCAAAATATCCTGGCTCGTAATTTCCAGAGTTTTGGGAGGTAAAACGCGTTGGAACGGGTTGATGGTTTCGACGTTTGAAGTGCGAATGGTGCTGCCGCAACAAGGTTTTCCTTCTATAATCAAAATAAGAAAAAAAACGTTAATACTCAGTTAATTGGATTTAAATTATATGTTTATTACCTTCGTTGCTTGAAGATTCCATCCAACTGTATGCGGTGTTTCCATTGTCGCTGGTTGTAACTTGGAATGTGTAAAGTCCGGGGCCTCCTGCTGTTGCGCTGAAGTATCTTGTATAAATACCATCGCCTTTAGTGATGTCAGGATCTCCGCTTCCAGTGTCCAAAAGTTCAAAGGTTTCATTGTAAATAATAGTTCCATTCGTTTCGGATTTGGTGACCAGCACCTCCACTTTCGCTCCCATAACCGGGTAATCTCCGTGTTTGATTTCGGCGTAAAGGATCAACGGTGCTTTAGGAGAAGTCCAGAATCGAGCGCGTACTATCTTTGCGAATTTTGATTTCGGTGTGGCCATCACTTGAAGAATGTGTGGTTGAGGATTTCCTGGGTACGGCTCGATGGTGTATGTCCAGGTGCCTGGTTCGGAGATGTTTGCAATGATAGTCATAACGTTGTACGTCAGTTGGCTGTCGCTGTATCTGCTAAAAACCTCTTGACTTGGACTGGTCAACACCAAATTCTTGATCATCGGACGGGCGTTGTTATGAGTATAAAGTTTCAGACTGGCCGGTTCGCCCATGTTCTCATCCAACACAAAGCTTCCAGTTATCGAATTCCTGTCGTTGCGGATCTCCCTTCTGTGTATTTCCATTGGTAGATTGTCATCGCAGTAATTCTCGATTATATTGTAGAGTACGTTCGATAACTGGAAATACGTTGTCAGCAAGCTGTTGTCAACGTTGACTTTGTTTTCGATGACAGTGTACGATATACCGCCAGTGGATTTTGCGAGTGAATCCAGGCTTTGGTCGCGTATCAAATCCGGATAATTGATGGTAGTAATCCTGATCTTCGCATCCGCCGCTTCCCCGGTGGCAATTTTCAAATTGTTGTTCCAGTTCATGCCTGGTGCGATCACGATGATAACGTTACTAGCCGGCGATTTCTGTGCATTCAGCATATCCACCGCCTCTTTAATCCCGCAATGCAGACACGGCGTTTGAGAGGAATCAATTGGATTGTACGGAATAGCGGAAGAGAATAGATCACGGTTGTTCAGTTTCATCTGGACTAAATTTAAGAACTTGGTGGCACCGCTTCCGTTCGTCATGACCAATCCAGCTTCGACGTTTTCGGGTAATTCAAAAGACCACTTCCTGATGGCTTTGCGTAAAAAGTCCCAGGATTCGCGTTGCACCATATCTTTGGAGTTCTCTATGACGAGCACGAAGCGCGTGATGTTGTGTCTCTTGTAGTTGATCAGCGGCGTGGTGTTTATGATGTAGCTGTTGCTGTGATTAGCCAAGTTCTCGCTGGAGAAGTCCGAATGGTTGAAGATCACCTCGGAGGTGCTTTTCCTCTCGCACATCAGATTATGCTTAGTTGGAGCGTAGGAATCGTGATTGAATGTGTCGCAGAATAGAGAAACTGATTCGGCTTCTGGAGCAAACATGATTGATACCCTAGCCCTCTCGTCGACCATCTTGGTGGTGTTGTAATCCTTAGAAGATCCATCACAAATTCTATAAAAAAAAAACAATTACAATTAGTACGCAAATCTAGAGAATGAAAGGTTCTCTGTACTAACCCATTGTCGGAGATGGGGAGGTCGGAGCAGCCGCTGACTTTGAGGGTTTGAGAGGAGTCGTCGTTGTAGCAGATCGGATAGATCGGATCGTTGAAGTATCCTTGCTCCTCGAACACGCCGTAACGGTACATCGCGAACTCCTTCACCAAAGAACGTGCTGCAAATGAAAGCGAATAAAATTAATAACAATGTCCAACTTCCATTGTTCTTTGAACCACATACCCAGAGAATCGTCCTTCTGCTCCAGTGCTTCGTAGCCCAGATAAATCTGATCGCCGTTCATGCCGCATCCTGCAGATTGTTGTGTCCAGAGGCGTCCTCGAGTCGGACCGGTAGCTTGGACCGTCACATCGCTGGTCTCGCCGGAACCGGAAGTGACCCATTTCGTGGAGGGCACGCAAGTGTCGGGCCAGGTAGCCGGAAGCAGCACTGTGGCCGAACGAATAAAGGCGCGGCTGTCGAGGGCGGAAAACAGGTATTTCGATGCACTTGTAAGGGTTGCCTGCAAAAGAAAGAGAGAAAAAATCCATTAATACAATTCATTTTACCTAATAACATACAAAGAAGAAATCAGGACTTTAAATCTTGCATGAAAGAAAAATTCTTGTTTGCGTCAAAGGTGATGTTTGTGCGCTTAAAACAAGCGATTAATAGAGAAACGTCTTTGGAAAACCTGTCTCCTCAGCATCTCTTCGCGCGGAGTACAGTTAAGTTTACACCATGACCCCATGCACATATACACAAACACATTTTATGCGCGTTGATTATTTTCTCTTTTATAATGAAAACAATGCAAGCAAAGAAAGCTTAGCATTTATGAATATGAAAATTTAAAAAAGAATAAAAGAAAATAAGCCGGTTCATGCTAATATTGATTTTAGAAACACCAGGTTTCTTCTTCGCTCCTCCCGCATCGGATTTCCTACCGGCTTGAATTACAACGCCTAATCGAATTTATTTATATACCACTCGCATACATTGCACACTGTGAGTTACTGTTTTCTTTCTGTTTTTTTGTTGTAATGTACAAGATTAAAACAGAAATAGTTACGGTGCGTGGCAATTGTAGGTTTGGATGCACCAAAGCGTGACGGTCAAAGTGTTTGCAGCGGAAGTAAAAGGGGGGTTCCTCGTCGACGATTTTTTTAATATCGGAAAAGCTTTCAGCCGCAGCAGAGATTGCGACCGGACTAAAAATACTAATTAAAATTAGCAGCAGCAGCTCCCGTCATCTGGTCTACGGTTTTGATGGAAACGCGATATATAGGTTTACATTTTCATCTCACAGTTTTTTTTTGTTCGCATTTACTTCTCCCGATGGATGGTATTTATATGAAGACTTATAAATTTAGAACGGTTTAAAAGATGTCATCGGGTTCGCTTTACGCGCCATGTGCGAACCTCTCTTGTAGGCATTCCTTCCGTCTCTTCCCCAAGCCATATGCTCGCATCTTCCACATAGCGCTCAACAAAATTATCATCAACGCAACGAGTTGGAAATGTGTATTTTCCATTTGATAAAGGTATCAGACCCGCATTTGAAGTGGTCGTGTGATAAGAGCGAAAGCTCTTCGCTACAAACAAACACTGTTAACGCTAATAACGGAAGATGATTCTCGTAGCAGCACTTACAACTGCCGACCTTTTAGGAGCGTGTAATTGCATTTACATAGTGGGATGAGTCGCCTTTCTCTTTTATAACCGATTATCCCGTGGAAGATGCACGAACCTTGGCATTTACCATTGCAAGCCAGAGAAGAAGGATTAAAAAAATGAACGAAATAAAAAAAAAAGGATGAAGAATAAGCAAAATAAAGCTGAAAATGCACTCTTCTCGTGCATCACACAAAAATCGTTCCGAAATAATTGAGGCCGCACGTTTCCAGTGAAGATCGTGAGATGCTCGCAGATCATCTGCCCTCTTCAGATTCCAATTTCTGAAAGCCGCTTAAAGTAATCTCCTCGGGCTTTTCATATATTTCTTCCTTTATTTTATTATTTTTTAGTTGTTTTTTTTTTCTTCTTCCATTTCGTAATCGTATCAAGTGGATTTGAATACGCTTATGCATCCAACTTGATAAGGAGCACTAATTTGTTCTGCCTAATCTTCGGAACAAGTTGGGTAATATATTTTTCTTTTGGAATTTCGAAATATTAAGAGACCACAGAAAGAGGTCGTTCGCTCTTCGGGATTATCAGCTCGGCCACAGAAACGCTTATTGTTCATGTCTTTGGTATTTATAGGATTGCGCCATTAATTATCCGTTATTAATGCATCTTACTACAGATTACAACGTCCGAATTATCAACTACACCGACATAAATCTCGTTTACTTCTTGCAGCAGCAGTTCGCTTTCTGATAACAACATAGTTATAATCGTCCGTGTCCGAGGATTAGTAACCAATTTGCTTCCAACACACTTATTATCAAAGCATTGTTACCGATCTGACGTAAAAGCACGGTGGGTATTCCGTTGTTTGTTTTTCTTGTTACGGAACGGTGATCTCATGCAATTAGCGACATATTTAATGTGTAGCAGCATCTTTTGCCTCGGCTTCGAAATTATAGCGAGAATTACAAAGTTGCAAATTTTATCTCTTCGGGAGACGACAGCTGCTCCCGTTGCTCAAATGTTTACGTCTCAACAAAATGTTTACGCAATCGCAGCTCGTATTTATCATTCCCCTAATATTTATTTAAGAAATCAATTCATAAAACAATTTCCACGTTTAGATTAAACCTTTTTTGCTTGTTGTTCTTGCGCGGTCTCCTTTTATTTTTCTCTCCACTTCTGTGTTTATTTGGATGAGGCCAAGTACGTTCGAAGCCTTGGATGGCAACGGCATTAAACTCAATCCAGAAATGGTTAAAAATCTGTTACAATAAAACACATCATGTTCTACGAAAATGGGTTTATTCCAATATGCAAATATCTTGCGACGTTAAATTGTATTCGTAATGAGGTTTAGCTGGAATTGGCTATGAATAATCTCTCTTTCTTTTCCGTGTTTATTTATTTGAGGTGTGCCAATTGATGAATAGAGGATGCCGAAACGTGAAAGCGCGTCGAAGTGTGTTACGCAAATAATGGAGGCATCTCCGTGGAGGTTAGTTTCCCAATCAATTTTGGAAGGAGATGAGGGCTTCAGTTAGGGTTAGAGGTTGCGTAAGAGCTGTATATTATCGATGATCGGAGTATAAATTAAAAGGTGAGCTTTTAGTAATAAGAGGTGAACGTCAAGAAGATGCGCGTTGGTAATTAGTCTTTCGAAGAGAAAAGGTTGAGTAGGTGCTGTGCTGTAGTGTATGTGTACGGTTTTTAGCGCGTCACGACTCTACCGAGAAGAGGAACTCCTCTTCTCCGTCTGCTCTTCAGATGTGTACTCCTCTGTATGATTTTCTCACGCTTCGCTATGATTACAGGCTGTGTCGAGAAAGGTGAGCGCCTCAGCATCAACGAAGCACATTCTTATTGCCGAGCCCCGAAACAAAGCGGAGAGGAGCCTTCTTCTTCGCACTATGACCCGAGGTGGATCGTCCCGGTCATAGCAGAAGAAGAACCCATTAGGATTCAACGGGCGCGAGCCTCTTGGAATCACGATGACACGCTTTACGCATCGGTAAAAACGCCTTAACGGTTTCGTGAAAGTCCACTATGAAAGACCATACCGGGACGACAACGACGATGGATTTCTTCGCCTCTTCCTCCTCCGACCCATTTACTTCTTGCCGCAAACGCCGAAAAATCGGAAATAAGGACGATGAATCGAACAATTTTGTTGTTTTTTTTTTAATTATTTATAAGCGACCGCAACGGAATCGATGATGAAAGTCATCACTGTGAAATTGGTTTCTCTTTAATTCGAGTAGAACAACAACAATAAAAACAAGCAACAGCAGATTCAGAAATGAAATGCTTTAATCAAATCTCGAGGATACCAGAAACCTTCTCTTTTTATTCTCTGTTTAAAACTATGATGTAACGCGGAATCTTCCGAAGGACAAGCTATTGTTGCAAATTGTGCATCATCGGTGATCATCGATCAATTCAACCGCAACTATTTTTGTCAAGCGCAATTTTATATTAACTTTCGATTCTTTCAAAATTAAAACTATTTCGTACAGTCATTTATATTACAAAATCTTTTATTAAACAATTTTAAAAATTAATAAAAATGTTTGTAATTTTTAAATTGAAATTATTTTAAATTTAAATTCTACTTGAACTAAACGTATTTATTGAATAACTTGCTGATGAAGCTTCTTGTAAAATGCTTCGTTTAAGTAATAAAAGCAGTTGTTTTTATTACTTAAACGAAGAATCAGCGAAATATAATGCAACAAAATCTTTGGATAGTTGAGTTTTCAATTTTTATTTTAAAAGCATTTCCAATATAAAAAATGATGTAAATTCAAATAAATTTGTATTGTTGCGAATTGCATCGGTGATCGAGCGTTTAAGTATTCGATTCGCGTATGTTTCGAGTACAAAAATACCTTTATGTCGATATGTGTTTGCGTATAACAGAGTATTGAAAACTTAAAGAATTCTCACACATTTTGTGTTTAAAGTGGATCCATTTGAGAAGGTGCGTAAGTGGTAGCACAGGTGTTAAACGGGATCGATCCTTTACTAATTGATGATGGTAATACCAAACTGGTTCAGGTCAATTACAGATTGGGAGACGATTTGTCGTACGGGCTATTAAGAATCGATAAAAGCTATGCTTTTATCGCTTCCTTCAGATTTTCTGAACTCACCTCGAGATTGTTGAGGATCTCTTCGCAATCGGTAACCGGCACGGACTCAGAGACCGTGACCACGAAATCCTCGTAGGCTCCGTTCTTCATTTCCAGTCCTCGGTTCCCACCGATGACGGAAACGACGAGGATGACCGTCGAAATCAATCCGAATCCTTTCATCCTGTATGTCGTCGTCGCGTTTAGTCCTTCGCAATAAGTTGCTAAACTTTAAAGGCACATCCCTCTCCAATTGGAGGTAAAAAAAACTTCCGGTAAAACGATCACTGAGAGAAGCACTTGGTAAAAAATACTTTGTTCGAAAAGCTTCTATCTAAATAGTACTACCACTGACCCGAACCACTTTTCTTGCTATCGATTTAATTCGTATGTTTTGTAACCAAGGTGATGGGACTACTGTTGCAACAAATGCTGTGTTTGTTTGCGTGGGAGTGCGGATTGGTTGTTGCGTGGGTGTATAAAGAGAGAGGAGGAGGCACGTTCGCTCTACCAGTTTCTGTGCTGAACTGAAGAGCTTCTAGCGTTGATGAGGACGACTCGGTTCGCCATCCCCACCACTTCGTACCTTACCAACAATACTACACACACACACCCTCACATACACACGCGCACTCGACGTAACTGCAGTAGCAAGGATCAGGACCGCTTCGGGCGATTACGGCCCATCACCAAACCCATCAACATTCCTCGAGGCGCATTTTAAACACTTCTTCTTCAGGTCTTTTCAATACCGGCCTAATCGATTAATTAAACCCATCTTCGAGCGTTTATTTGCTCTCAATCCATTGAAGACACATTTACCGTAGCAAAAGAAAAAAAGCAAAACGATTGAAAATCCACGGAAAGTTGTTCCTTAGCTCTTCCTCATATCGATGATGAATCGCTTGTTTTCATTAAGCCATGTTTACTTATCCGCATTTCTCGCTTCCGCGAGTTTTGCATTTTCCATTGAAAGTTTTCTTGTTATTATCTCTGATATTTGCAAATGTTTTGACAAATTCATTGCTTATTATCAATCAAGATATTATTCATTTGCTGATTCATCGAATTAAAGTTATTAATAACAATTAATACTATAATCGTAGAAAAACAACAATTTTAATGGTTTAAAACAAAGATTTAAATTTTTATAAAAATATGCAAAATTAATAAAGAATGTTTAAAGTTTGTTCGTGAACAAAATATTATTTTTTCTAACAAATATGAAGATTGATTCAAATCTGTTGCGTTTGTTTGTAATGCTTTGGTCAACGCAGCCTTGTATTTGTTTCTACTAACATTGCTATTACAAATTATTACATTGAATAACAGCGATGTTTATAAACACACATCACCTGTGATGTAAGTAGTGTTAAATTCCAACTTTCATTGAATTATAAACAATTACAAAGCAAATGCATTGCGAAATAAATTGAATTCAAATACAAAAACAATTTTTCCAATATGAACAATAATTTGTTTCCATCTTAAATAAATTACAAATCAAATTTCAATAAATTCAGCGTTTTCCACCTAGATGTCACCCTATTATTCAGTTACCTGAACATTTTAAACCCCTATTTCTTAGATTGATTTTTCAAAGTTTTTAAAGGAAATTTTTTTACACTTAAAATTTAGAATATTTTTATTATACAAAAATTATAAATTTTTTGAATAATTACATGATTTTACATATATTTGAAATATTTCAAATTTCTTAATGATTTATAACAGAGCTAAAAGAAATACATATAAAAACTAAAGATACTTTAAACTCTTATTCCAGATTTAAAATTTTCCGTTACTAAAAGTATTTAAACTAAATATTTAAATATACAAGAAATATTCCAAATTTCCAAATGATTTATAGGAGACAGCAGAAAAGACTTGTTTCTTATTTTTTTAATTAGATCGGAGTCATTTTCTAGGTACAAAAAATGTATATACATAAAAACTAGAGACACGAGAAGCAGATGCTCTTCGTTCCTGTTCCTTGCATTAATTTCAACGTCGTATTTCATAACTATACGTTATCGCGCATCACTCCATGGAATTTATAAACTATTGACCTTATTATTCATATTCTTCCAAACAGTTTCACTACAAAAGTACAAAAAATAGGTATTTTTTATTTTTTTAAAACAATTATGAATTATTCAAAAAAGTGAAAATTCTAAAATGAAATTCGAAATCTCAAAACTAATAATAAAAAATATATAATAGAAGCTACACGTTTGTAGTTTGACCTCGCAATCTCTGAGATTACAAGCATCTTCACTATATTTTTTTTTTACAAATTGCATTTTACTTTCAAATTTTAAATTTCCGGATACTTTCTTAAATATTTTAGTTTCTTGTTTCTTACATTAGAAAAAAAAATATGTTTAGTTTTTTTGGATATAAAATATCTTAAATTTTCGTATAAACTACATAACTATTCAATGAAAAATTTGATAGATCAACAGTTCTCAACCTGTGGGTTACGTAATGACAGCTGTCATTATATGTCAAACTAAGAAACTGATAAAAAACTACGCAGTAAAACTACAAACAATTGATTAACTTTTCGTGTACACTAAATATATTTTTTTAATTGAATTATTCAAACGGAAACAATGTGAGACAGACATTCTCTAAATTTGATTTGCATTTATTATGATACATCCTCCTATTTCTCAATTATAATTTGTATCCTCGCATACCTGAATCATCTATTTTCAAGGTCCTCTGTTCGCTTAGGTGTAAAAACATGACGCGCTTCGTCATACGTGATTGTATTGCATTTGCTCATTAACATTGAGAATTAATATTTCGATTCTCGCGAGGCGATGCGAAGTGAGGAAAAAAAGCGAATAAACACAATCGTCGTGAGGATAACAAGTAAACAAGTGTACGGAATTAGCTCTTGGAAGTGATGCCATAATTAAATGCAAAGTATGTTTATCATCGTTGTTTTCAAAGAAATATCAATATTTCCATTCACAAATTTATATCTAGTTCAGTTTTTAAAAGTTATTTCTTGATTAGTTTGGTTTCAAAAATTAATTAGTAATTTTAGTATTAAGAAACTATTAGTAAACATGAATTAATAATAGAACAAAATCATTTCCTGATTTTGTGATATTCTGAGCTAATACTGGTTTACAACTATCATCGCTTCTCTTTATTTGCGCTCAATCTCTTCACTTATTTATATTTGATCTAGATTCTCCACTCGACACAATAGGACGTTTCCTCATCTCTCTTTATATAAATAAAACATTCTGTCTTCGTTTTTTTTTCAATGAAACGTGTGGGATTTTCCCATTGCGTATGGGGGATGCAAGTGGACAATAAATCACCCTCACTGAATTGGCTGAATTGCACTCGAACGCGCACTCGAAACTGGAGTTTATTTTAGTTAATTTCTTTATTGAGGCAATCGAGAAAAAAGGCATGACCAGAACAAGAGGAATCGAAGGATCATCGTCCGACCTAAACAAACATCCGAAGACCCAAAAACGGTTTGCTCAGTTCTCGAATAAGGGTGGGGATTCGCTGTGGGAAGACCGCTTTACATAAATAAGCTACCTAAGCGGACCTCTTGCGTAATACCAATCTGTCATCGGGTCGAGGATGTTTAAGAAAAACCTTTTCTTCAATTTGTTCACATCTTTGGTGGCTAAGCAGAACCAAATATTTGCGCGTACTATCATCCACAGACTCCAGCTTTTATCGTTGGCAGACGATAACCACTGAAGGAGACAGTGTCTGCTCTTGTGCATAATAGGAAAGCATCGACTGTTTCTTGAGGGATGTGCCTTGAAAAATATGAGTATTTATTTACGCACATGATCCCGTTTCGCATGACGGTAAATCTTTCGCTTTTCGGGGCTCTCTGTTTCCTCTGAAAGACGTCTGCGGAGGCGACCGAAATATAAAAAGAGGAGAGGAAAACGAATGCCAGACGGTCTTCTGGGAATGCCATAAAAATGTCCCTATCCCTGAAGAACCAATAAACACTCGAACGCTTCGTTTTTTTTCTTCAGTTTACTGGCGCTGTAAACCATCATCCTCGCAATTTTTTTTTGTAGTATTTATTTTTTAGTATTTTTAAACTGCTTGAAGTGGTTTTCGACGAATTCGTGCGTTGCTCAATTCTTACTTTATTTTTGTAAAGCAAGTAAATAGGATAAGAAACATTATCGAATTAAGTTAAGTTAATAATGATAATTAAATGGTTTTCTGCTCGTTTATGTTATCATTCAATGGAGATCTTAAGAACCGCAATTACAGATCATTGAGTCACGATTAGTGTAACAACTATTGTTTAAAAGAAATAAATTAAAGTTATATAAGACATTTTATATTTGTTCTATAAAGCTGCATTAACACCAAGTCATAAACTGTTAAATTTACTTTGTAAAAATGACAGTTTAATATTTACAAACTAAATTTGACAGTTAACTGACATTTATACTTGACACATGTACGTCACATGTCATTTTTTGCGTAAAGCATTACAGATACAAATTAAATTCAATTATTTAATTAATTTCTCATAAATAATTTATTATCAATGCACGAAGATGTAAATGAGGAAACTATCATGGAAATGAGCAGCTTTTCGTAAATGTTGTAAAAGAAACTAACAAATCAACTACTATTGACAATTACATCTATCATATTTAAATATGACAGCTGAATGACATTTTCACTTGACACATGTACGTCACATATCTTTTTTTTTAAATAATCATATAAATTGAATAAAATTAAATTAATTAATTAATTAATTTCTTATAAATAATTTATTATCAATGCACGAAGATGTAAATGAGGAAAAATATTATAGAAATGAGCAGCTTTTTGTAAATGTTGTAAAAGAAACTATCAAATCAACTACTATTGACAATGACATCTATCATATTTAAATATGACAGCTGAATGACATTTACACTTGACACATGTACGTCACATATCATTTTTTTAAATAATCATATAAATTGAATAACATTGGGCGGAAAAATGTAAATAAGGAAAAATATCGTGGATATGAACAGCTTTTCGTAAAAGTTGTAGAAGAAACTAACAAATCAACTACTATTGATAATGGCATCTGTCATATTTAAATATGACAGCTGAATGACATTTACACTTGACACATGTACGTTACATATCATTTTTTTAAATAATCATATAAATTGAATAACATTGGGCGGAAAGATGTAAATAAGGAAAAATATCGTGGAAATGAACAGCTTTTCGTAAAGGTTGTAAAAGAAACTAACAAATCAACTACTATTGACAATGACATGTGTCATATTTAAATATGACAGCTAAATGACATTTACACTGATGTACGTCACATATATTTTTTTTAAATAATGATATAAATTAATTAATATCTTATAAATAATTCATTATCAATGCACGAAGTTGCGAATGACGAAAAATCTTGTAGTAATGAACGGTTGTTAAAAAAACAACAAAAAAAAAATAAACAAGAGAAATTAGTAGACCGTCACCAATTACGTAACTAGCGAAAACAATTGC